CTGTACGCTGCTGTGTTACCTGGGGTGATCCTGCGTCTACACTCCGAGCTCTTTGCATCGCGGCACAGTCATCTGTGTTGTGAGAGTCAGACTGATGGTACTCACACCACATATAAGCTTTATGGTCTGTCACAGACGTAGTCTTTGCAGCCGCTGCATATGTTTTGGGTGGTCCATGTCTTTGACGTGAGCCTGTGGTTGGATGTTTCTTTTCTTTATTCTTGACACCACCACTCTGGAGCTGGTAGCAATCACCAGCAATGGTGACACTCTTCATTGGAGTTTCTGCGCGAACTACATTTGTCAAACAATCAAGCCACCTAAACAACCAATATAAATGTCCTTGCTGTGTACCAAACTCAAAAATACCAATTAAAGCCTTTTTTAAATATTCATACCTCGGGTCAGCAAGACACTGACGTACAAATGTTCACTTGCAAAACTACCCTGTGGGATATGAGAGCGAACAAATGATTTCTTCGTATCATCTCCTCTTATCTGAAAATTGTTCATGGTATCCTCACAAGCTCTTATAAATGTAGTTACCCGATATCCATCTTCCCCTGTAAAATCGCGGACCAGATCGCCACGCGGTAACACCTGAATAACGTTAGAGGGGTTAGTAGACATGCCGGTGTTAGAAGTAGCCATGCTATTTATCTTACTCCTAACTGAGGGGTTTTTTAATGGAGGAGGTAATAAAAAGTTTTCTGACACACACTGTGTTTCTGTGGAGGAGAAAGGAGAACCTGCCCGTAATCAGGCGACGTCATATACTTATTACCTGACCTTAGGGTTCGACGGTTTAAATCGTCAAATGATTGTTCTATCAAATCTTCACTACTCCTAACAGAAGTGTCTAGCTTTGATTGCGCCTGTGTTTCGTGCGAATCTATTGAATCTATTTGTTCAGTCGTGACATTAACCTCATCAGCAATATCTGAATCGCTAGTATAATGTTCCACCAATTTAGTAATGTCCCAAGACGATGACTTAGAAAGACGGTCCATTAATATTAAAATAGATCACATCAAAGGTTATCTCATAAAAAAAATAATCTTGCCTTTCATTTACAGTAAATAACGTTACTAGTAAAATGAAGAAATTATCAATAAATGAATGAGAGAAAATTAATACTGGACTTTAATTTATTCAGTATCCATATATAATCATATAAAAAGTAAGCAAGACACTTATAAAATTAATATAACCTACACGAAGTCTATCTTTGTGGAGGCATGCCGTAGAATATATTACTGTGGGTATATATATATATATATATATATATATATATATATATATATATATATATATATATATATATATATATATATATATATATATATATATATATATATATATATATATATATATATATATATATATATATATATATATATATATAATGTATACCTAAAAACCTAGGAATGTCGTCTGGAGTCGACGTAGAACACTGGAGCCGTCAGAAGCAGTCTTCCCTCCCACAATCACAGCTGACTCAAGGTCGCGGTGAGTGGGTCGGCGAGTAGGTCAATGTCCTCCGTGTTGATAGTAGATCAGGTGATGTCTCCGTTGTGTAGCAACTGACTGATGCTTCAAGATGGCGACGGGTGAGTCCACTTCAACGACGGGGAGTCCACTACCCACCAAAATGCTGACCAAGGGCTGTGGGGTCACTGGGTTCGCTGGGAAAGTCCACCATGGGTGAGGGTCAGGGGTTCTTCTGTGTGCCAAACCTCTTGTAGCCCTGTATTTATCGGGCTCGCTGGGGACACACAACTGCCCTCATGAACAGCCAAAACATTCTGTTTGAACAACTTGTGATGTCGAAATGGTGTAAGGTCCACGTGTTGCAAAACCTCGAAGCACGTAGGTATGTGGCAACACTGTAAGACCCAATGGGCTGTCACTGGGGGGTATCCACTCACAGGATGTTGAATGTTGACGCCACAAATTCTTCTCCGCCACGCCTGGTTGCCATACAGGGGAGTTACCGACTTGCCACAATAGGTAAAAGTTATCAATAACTCAAAAATGGTTATTGAGAAAAAGAAACTTGTACATCTCTTTGGATGAAAACGTTTAATATCACACGACTGGATATTATAATACACTTTGGAAGAATATAACACGTCATTGTTTTTTGTTTTTCTGGTTTTCGTAAAACACTCATGACTTGTTATGTAGTATATATATATATATATGTATATATATATATATATATATATATATATATATATATATATATATATATATATATATATATATATATATATATATATATATATATATATATATATATATATACCGGAATGTTGTCATCCGTTACTACTTTGCTGCCACCTATGAACTGGCCCTTTAACCGTTGATTCTTGATGAGTTAATGAGGCTGGGACATGTAAAGGTATACAGGGTTTTAGTAGCGAAACCCAACTGTCCTTTCTGTATTTATTAAGAAGATATATTATATACAGTTCCAAGTGTATATCACCGTAACTTAATCACTGAAGCTATGAGTTTTAAATGAGGAAAGAGGATATATTAAATAACTCTTATAAAATACATCCTGCTTGTGTGAGAGAGTGAGGAAGAATGCTCAAGTAGCCGGCCTCTATATGCTAACCTAACATTCTTGAGGCCGCTCCTTCAAGGAACTTACCCATCGCATGATGTGACCATGCCAACTCATAGCCAGTGGAAGTTACAGGGGGTGATATGATTATATAAACCCAACGGACTGCCCCTCATTGCTATGGGGTATATTGAAAATCATGATGTACATTTAATTACATATATTAGCAAACAAAAAATAAAATATATCAGTTATGCACAAAATTAACAAATAAAAACTAAACCTGATCAAACATATAGATCACTATATAATACTTGGTGTTCTTAAAAGTCGAGCAAGGTTTACACGTTATGGCACTAGAAATATACAAGAGGAGAGGAGATACTTATCTTATGACTGCCAGCCCAATACTAAAAGCCACCTGGCTTTAAGAGGCAAAACCAAGAGAGCAAAGGCGGGCGGAAATGACGTCACAGACAAAAGACGTTCACGTTTTCACGTAAACAACCATTGAGCGCTCACTCGTTCATTAGTATTCGGGATAATATAATAAACATTACTTTGTTTTACCTAACACATCGAAACCAATGTTACATTTCAAGTATAACATATAATATCTAAATTTTAACTGCTTCGGTGTCTACACAACGACTCATTTGAAGTTCATATGCTGACCAGTAATTTATTCATTGGTTCTTATTTCCGACACTCGTAACAGAAACGTCGGCCATTTTAGAAAATGGCGCCGTATATAACTCGCACGCATTTTTTACAATAGCAACACTTGGTTTCATGATCTCCACACCCAAATGCTAGTTTTTGCTATGCAGACAAACGTTACCCTGTTGACCCCCGCATGCATGTCAGTCAGGTCGACAGAAACTCGCTCGAGAGGCTTGGAAACTACCGGTAAGGCCTGCCATTTCTGGGTAAGACCCTTAGTTCCCTTGAATTTCTGACAGCTTTCACATGACTTCACAAAATCTATACAATCCTTACAGCAGTTTGGCCAATAGAATAGACTTTCTGCCCTGGCAATGGTTTTCCACTGCCCTAAGTGACCTGACTTGGCACTATTGTGTACTAACTTTAAGGCGGCTTCACGTAAATGATCAGGTACTACTAAGCAATAGAGCAAGGCTTTGTCAATTAGTTCTTTCACTAGATATAAAACTCCATCTATCACTTCAAACTTATCAATGGTGGTTTTGGGGTATCTGTGCCCTGGTAACTTTTCCCCATTCAAATACTGCAAGAGCTCTTTCCACCGTGGTTCTTTCTGTTGTTCTAGTCCCAGCTCTGCAGGGGTTAAGCCCTCTAGTGTGGGATATTGAGCAACTAAGTCTTTCAGCCGCCCTTCTCTTACTACTCTCACGGGTCTACTTAATGCATCAGCTACAACATTTGCTTTACCGGGTTTATAATCAATGGTAAAGGAATATTCCCTCATTTCTAACATCCACCTGTTCATTCTCTGATTCTTAGTCTTCTTCCTGAAGACTGAGGTCAGAGGAGGTGAATATCTTGAAAAGGTACAAGACTGATTTACAGAAACTACTTTATGATGTTTGTCTTGGCATCGGAAACATTGACAGGAACATGGAAGGCCTTCTTTATTAAACATTCCAAAATCAAGAGAAAATAGAGATCTTGACTCCTGATATTCTTAGAAAATAAAAGATACACCAGTTATATTAAATAAAGGAAATCTTGTGAAGTGCATTATTTCATTGATTGTGCGAATTACCCACTGTATTGCGAGGGTACCGTACTCTGAGGCAGAACAAAATGAAAATCCCGATTGTTTACACCAAACCAAAGTGGATGAATAGTTTGTATTAAGTTATACTTTAGTCCATAGTACATATTTAAACCATTTTTTACGTCATGATTTAGAACTACAGTTCCGGTCATTTGAAATAGAGATGCCACTGTAGCCTTTGAACACAAGCGCCGAGTCGCTCTGGCCGACGAGTTACAGTGGTGGAAAGGGCGTGGTCCCAATAGTAGGGTGGTATAAAGGCGGGTAGGGGTAGCCAACAGGGGTGGGGTTTAAGGAAAGAGATAAAAGGTGTTGAGTAGGTGTCATATCTGCTTTATCTTAAGTCAGACATCTCGCACCTAATTCTCCTATGTACAGTCACCCAAAAAAGTCCTGTCGCGAACCACGAACCCCGAGATTCAGACTCGTGAACCCGAAGCAGTAGACACTGATACATTATTCTGTCCATAAATGCTTCGGATTCAAGAGTCTGAATCTCGGGGTTCATGGTTCGCGACAGGACTTTTTTGGGTGACTGTACTTCTTCTCTCCCATTCCTCCGTGTATCTCGGAAAAAAAAATTATCAAAGTCTTCTAAAAATTTCCATAACACTTTATGACGGATATACTTACATTTATTCCCTTTTAGGAAAATAAAAATGAAGAGATGATCACATTTTATTTACTTCAGATTATGGATGATGTAATATTAACAAGACCATAACTTTATACATTGTATTACTCTCACCACATCAAGTTTCTTTCCTCCAGCATTAACCCAAGCGTTGACCTCGTCCTCCACCAGGTCCAGAGGTCCGACAGAGTCCAGTACAACATCATGGAACTTCTTAATGTCAAACTCGTCGCCTAATACACTGGCGGCCTTGTACCTCAAGTCCATTAGCTTGAGTTGCCCCACCTTGTAAGCCAGCGCCTGGCCCGGCATAGTAATGTACCGGTCCACCTCATTCTGCAACGACTCACACAATTACGAATTAATTAATGTGCGTAAGGCAAGAAAAAGTATAAGAATTCGTGTGCCATAGATTAGCAATACCATATTTAAGATCCTGAAATCACATGGACCGAACTTCAGCTCAACTTCCATCACTTGAGTTTTACCGCTATGCTTCTGAGACCATGTTGGTATATTTATATCCCTATTAAGATGAAGGAATAAATAATAATTTTCTCTCAATAACTCCCTTACATTCTCCCCAGTGACCAAATAAGACTTGTCACACTCACCTACCACACGTCAAGTAAGGAATCCGTGATGTAAACACAAATATGACCCACCTCCACTTTTACAGTAGTCATGGCTGTGTGGTTAATCAGGTAGTCGACGGCCTCCTGACGGGTCCAGCCGAGGGCGTGTAGACCTGTGTCAACTACCAGGCGAGAAGCGCGGAAGATCTCCAAAGAATAGTGACCATACCTGTTCCCCCAGGGACAATACGTTGTATATATATATATAATATCATGAGTCAGATATATAGTTATATATATATATATATATATATATATATATATATATATATATATATATATATATATATATATATATATATATATATATATATATGTAACCGGTCGGAATTACTGGACTTGGGGTTTATTGTCCCTCAGATTGGTAGCCAGAAACTTAGCATGAATGTGATAATATGGTTCATAAGAGAATGCTTTATTACCCTTCGTGATAATGGCCTTATCATAGTCTACATAGTTTGATCCCTACAATGGATATCATGGTGGGATTATAGGTGACAAATGAGAGACATGATTAATATAAAAGTGTGTCACAACTAGAAGTAGGTCACACCGCTGAATAGGGTTGGCTGGAAAAATAAGGTAAAAGCAGCAGGAACATATTTTATCATTAGTTAAACTCTTATAGGTAACCATAAATGTTGCCCAGTTAATGTTATATGCATTCAAAAATTTTTTTTTAACATTTACAGATAAAAATGACAAGACAATAATTCAAACGATCTATTCTTTAGATTAAAAAAAAAATATGCATAACACGTAACTTGTCCGGCATGGGTGTCACCAGGTCTCCACCACCTCCGGTCTACCCCTGTAGTTTTCTCTCTCTGTCTGTTAATGTGTACCATTATGTCAAATAATGTAAAACTTGATTGGATAAATTTTTTCGTTAATGTATTAAACAAAACAATGATATCCTTTCCCGGTCCTTATTGGGAAATGGAAGTATCAGAGCTCGATTGTTGAACTGCTTGGGTGCTTGTTTGTGTGTAGGGGCTATGTATGACCAGTGGAGCCACTGCTTGAAATATGTTGCTATACAGTATATTGAAAATTTCACCCTAACCTTGAAAACTTGAGGAAAAAAATTGAAAACCTCTCATACATTGAAAAATCCTGTTATTTTTTATATTTTTATATATCTTTTTATATTAAAGAATCATAGTTAACTTAGTTATGACAACGTTCTATTGGCACTTAGTTTGGTAAGTAAGTTGGCACCCCTAGACCCATGATTCGCCGATTTCGCATCTCTAAACAACGTGAATCCTACATTTTTTCATTTAGCAAGAAATGTTAAATATATTTTTTTATAGTGCTGCAGTGTAGAAACAACAATTAAAATTAATTAATTAGTAGGCTACACTAAACTATTCCTACAGTACAATAGGTCTACTTGTTTAGCTACTAAGTAAAATCTCTTCTTTGATTTACTCAGATAAAACTTTACTTAGTCTCGTCTCAAACCGTCCAACGAATAGATTTCGATTTCCTTAGCAATGCAGAATGCCGAGTGTCTATTTTTATTTGGTTGTCTATTATTTTCTTGTACATTTTATATTTTTTGTACAGTCACGAGTCATAATAACAAGAACACCCTGCTCGAACGGAAGGTGAGACTAGGTGGCCTTTCTGGACGACAGCTCACCATGCTGACAACAATGCGACACACAAACGAACACACGCCAGACGATAGTTTGACCAATGGTTGTTTCCCGCTCGTCACCACGGACAGAGCTTGGGAAACCATTGATAAATAATAATATAGATACATCGCCAATTCTGTATTACCATTAATGTTAATGCAATAAGAAATAACTT